CCCTGTGGTGCACTGTGAGCAGGCACAGGGCTTCCTGCTGTTTCTGTGCCAGGCTCTGCTCTCTGGTGCCATGCTGTGCCATGCCATCCTCTGCTTTCATGTGCCACGCTCTGCCAGCCCTGGGGCACAGTGTGCAGGGCTTGAGGGGGTTGCAGGTTTTCACTGTACCATGCCTTGCTGTCCTGTGACACCCCAGCTCACAGTGTCTGTGGACAAGGGGCTGCGTGCTCTGGGTGTGCCCTGCTGTGCCATCCTGTGCCAAGCCATGTTATGCCATCCTACACCATGCCATGCCATGCCATACCATGCCATCCCACAGAGCAGCTTGTGTGACCAAGGGGACTGCCAGCTCTGATGGTGCTGGCCCTGGGGGTACTGTTGGTCACCTGACCCTCATATAGGGCAGTACCCAGCACCCCCAGCTCTTCCCTGCCCTGCCCAGGGAGGGAGTGGTGCTGTCCCACTGGTGCCAGCAGTCCCAGATGCCAGGCAGAGGGGCTTTGCCATGGGAAATGCATCCCACTGCTTTGTGAAGCTCAACGCGGGACTGTGTGTTGGCACTGACCGAGCCACCCACACGAGCCCCAGTGTGACCTGCAGGGCCTGCGGAGGAACGAGCTGGGCTCCAACACGACCCTCTTGGTCCTGAACACAGCTGGCACCTTCTTGGGCTTCTACCACACTGCTGTGACAGCCACCGACAAGCAGAGCCTGGGGTCACCCCTGCAAGGGGCCCAGCAGCACCGGTGCCACCACTTGCTCCTGCCCTGGGACGTGGTGGGGGCAGAGCTGCCTGTTTGGGGTGGGTGATGAGAGTGTCTGTCTGGGAGAGCATCACAGGCAGAATGGGAGCTTCAGGCAAAGCTTATTGAAGATGCCCTCCCATTGAGTCACAGGGTGCAGAAACTGCTACCTTGCATACTACACTCCTCCTCAGAGAGGAGTCTGAGTATGGATCAAGTCTTACCCCAGACTTTGTCAACTGTTTAAGTCTAAAGGATGATATAGGTGGAATTGAAACCTTGTACAACTTAGTCCCACAGGATTAAGGATGGTAAACCATATATATATATATATATATATATATATATATAAATTATTTATTATGATAATTAGACAAATATCTTTATTTAAGTACACAGTGTGGAAGCTACTATACTACTGGTATAGTATAATGCCACTATTTTGAAGCTATATTAAAGCCAGTAAAACCAATTGTGAAGTAGAGTCTGATGCTACCCACTCATAACAATGATTGGGGGCAAATTTTGCTCAGACTCAAGGAATAGCCTTGGGGTGTGTCCCCATTCCAGGAAGGAAACTCCACACACATCCCAAGCAGGGGAATGTTCAAGGACCCTGCTGTTAAAAAGTGGGACTGGGCTTTCATAGTATAAAATTATTGTCTGGCAGCCAGATGTCTCAAGGCCAGTTGTGTCAGCTCAACAGCTTTAGATATGTTATCAGCAGTATCACTTGTGGGTTCCTTTATTTGATGCTTTACCAATCCGACCACATCTTTATCTCACTGTTGGGGTGTTTAGCTTTAGAATTGATGAGTCACGCTCATTTCAGCCTTGTTCAACACCAAAAGCAGCGTGACACCCCCTACTCCATTCATCACTGGTAGCTTTGCAAATAGGGCATTGTTCAAGTTGGTTTACACCCAGTCTGGCCAGAGTATCCCCATACAGAAAGGTGGCAGGGGTGCCCCTCTCTCTGTCCAAGGGATATAGCAGGAGTCATGCCCATCTATCTGTCCAAGGAGATCTGTGTGTCTGGGGACATGAGGAAAGGCCAACCAGGCTGTGGCAGCCTTCAAACGCTGCACTGGCAGAGACAGAAGGAAAAGGAAGCACGGTGCCCAGCCCGGGCCAGAAGGGGACACAATTCAGTCAAGGGCCCCAGCCCTGGGGCTCCACTGCTCCCTACAGAGGCCTCTTCAGGAAGAATGCTCTCTCCTCTGCTTCCTGCAAGGCAGGGTAAGGCCAGGAGCCAAGGAAGGAGCAGGATGCACCTGCTGCCACATCGGAGTGGGCAGGCAGAGAGGCACATCTTGCTTCCTTTGGCAAAAATCCACAAGAGCCAGCAGCGATTTGGGCTGGTCCCATCCCTGCATCCCTAGCCCTCCAACCCAGCCCCAGAAGAAAAACGGAAGCAGCAAGGGCTCCCTCTTCTGGCCTGGTCCTCTGGCAAAGACGACAGTAAAGAAGAACAGAGACAGCCAGACAAATTTATTAAGAACTTCAAGTGATTTATCCCCTTCAATGTGCTCCACTGCCTGCCCCCGGCGCCAGCAGGGAGGGGGGCCATGGTACCAGACCAGGACCTGCTGCTTGGGCTCAGATTGTCACTGTCCAGGGAGCCGGGTCTTCCCTGGGGATTGGATCTGCCACAGGCCCTCCTGGGGCAGAGCCACTCAGTCTGTGCAGTGTCACCCAACCACAACCACCTGGTTGTGCCTGCGTGCACCAGTCCAACATCCTCACCCACACACGCACCCACACTTTTTTTCCTACAGGCCAGATCCCCACCTTACCCAGCCCTCTGACTGCACAAGAGAACTCCTGTGCCACTGGGCAAGGGACCAGCCCCAGTTTGGAACGGCTGGGGAGCTTGCAGGCTTATCAGAGCCCTGAGCAATGGGGAAGGCGAGGCACAGGCTCCAGCAGCAACTCCTTATCTCACACATCCCCCACACCTCTGGTCCCCCCCCTCTTGGTGCTCAGCATCAGTGACTGGAAGCCCCTGAGGTCAAGGGCATGTAGTGGAGGTAGGGAAGGAAAAGAGCAACGGGAGTACTAGCACAGAGGGGGAGGGAAGGGTCCCTGCCTGCCATCTGAGGACCATCCCCAGCCCCTGCTGCACCCAGTGCCCCGCCCAGTGCCACCAGGCTCACGGGTGGATGGGGACCTGGCAGGGCGGTGCGGGTGCAGGTGCCCAGCCAGCCCGGCGCTCCAGGGCCAGCTGCATGCTCCAGATGCTGAGGGGCCGCATGTAGGCCAGCGAGCGGTACACCTTCTTCTCCCGGTAGGCCTCCGGCGTCTGGAAAGCCATGCCCAGCTGTTCCCACACCGTCCGGTAGCAGCCCTCCGCCGTACGGAAGCCTTCCTCCACCAGCCCCTGCGGCACAGGGAAGACGACCATCAGCAGCTTCACACAGTGCAAGGAGATGGCAGACTTGCCCAGGGGTGCGCTGGCAGCGTCCCCACTCACCTCCTGGATCATGGTGGCAGCCAGGGCGTACACCACGCCGATCCACACCTCGTTGGACTGGACGCTGGAGGTGTCGGGCACCCCGTCGGGTCTCATGCCATTCACCGCCCCCATGGTGCCCCCTGCAAAGCCCAGCACGTTCTTCTCAAAGATGGTCCTGAGCGCGCTGACAACGTGACTCTTGGGGAAAACCTGAGAGGACAGAGATGGGGAGGGGGCAGCCTTGGGCTCAGTGCTCAAGCAGACCCTCAGGCTGGCTCTCCAGAGAGCAGGATTCAATTTCCTTGGAGGAAAAGGTCAACACTGCTCGCTGGGTCAATTGACACAAATTCCCACCTCACAAAAATAACCGCAGGAAGTGAAATCTCCTCTTTCCATGAAAACAACAAAACAAATCCCAAAACTGCTCAAGATAGAGATGATGAATTTTAGTCTGCCTTCCTCTGGAGCAGGCTAACTGCTCATCCAACCAGTGCATCTCCAAAACCAGCTTCTCACCCACAGGCAAGGCCAAATGCCCTGCCATCTCCTGGGACTTTGCTTTGGGGACCTGGACACCCACACCACCCTCATTTCCTTTATGGGCACCACTTGCAAGATAGCAAAGATCCAGGCAGCTCATCAACACAGCCCAGGGACTTGCCAGAGCCTGCTTGCCACTCTGGTGACACCAAAGCCAAGGGAAGCAGAGGCTGTGATGACACCAGGCAGGAGCTTGCCAGAGGAGGCTGGACACTTCAACCAGACACCTTGGCAGGCTCAAAGGAAAATCAGCAAAACCCTCTCAGCTCTGCTAAAGCCAAGCATCCACACAGCCATTCTTCCTCAGTCTGCCTCTGCATAGAAGCCCACGTGCTGCTCTGGGGATCACCAAAGGGCTGGTGTGAAGCAGCCATCTCTGGCACAAGCTTTTGGGGCACAGTTTCCTCAGCACCGGGTCACAGGCTTCTCTTACATTTCATTACTGACTTGTGCACGCAGCAAGGACATGTTAATGAGGTTACAAAGAGGAGCGCTGCCAGTCAGGCAAGGGATCAAAATACATGGAAAAACACCTCGATGCTCACAGGAACAGAGGAGACAAGTTCATCAATCCCACCTCCAGTGAGCTCAAAGCTCACCAGAGGGCAGGAAAGAGTCCCACCTTCAGCAACACAAGTCCAAGGCTAGGAAAGGCAAGGGCCAGATCCTGCCTGGAGCCTCAGGCACAGCCCCAGTCCCACACTGGGTTAAACACAGGAGGGCCTGACCCCAGGCCCATTTCTTATTAAAGCCCACAGTCTTCAGCACAAACTCCCAAGTCAAGCCCTCTGAAATCTCCCCTCTGATTTACCAACATGTGGGAACAAGCTCAGTCATTCTGCACCTGCACTTAGTTAGTGGGAATCCAAAGGGAAGATGGACCTTGCCTAAGTGCTTTGAAAGAGACAATGTTGTGTTTCTCCACATGGAAAACCACTTGGAATGGTCTGCATGGGAGTGTGTGATGTTCTCTGGTGGCTGAACACAGCCACCACCTGATGCCAGTGTGAATGTGTGGGA